GGAACGGGCCGGGCCGCCGGCCACCGGCGAGAGAGCAAGCGCACCAACACGGCGCGCCGTCTCGGCCACGTCCGCCGGCGCAGCGGCAGGACGCGGAGCCGGTACCCCGGCCTCCGGCAGAAGCTCTTCAGAGCTGGGGCCCGGATCGCCATCCTGAGCACCCGGGCCCGCTTCCGCAGCTGGAGCTTCCTCATCTTCCTCTTCATCTTCTTCCTCTTCCTCTTCGGCATCGAAGTTGTCGTAGAGGAATTCCATCGTCTCCTTCCACAGACGCTGTTCATCTGCTAGCGTCGTGGATCGTCCGTCCTTCTTCTTGGTGGGACGGGACCCCGTTTCCTTACGCCAACGGAGCCAGTACATAAAGGGCATCTTCTCCGGGTACTCCACTGACCCATCCTCGATGCACCTCAGCAACGTGGCTCCTTCCGGCTGACCTGCGACCTCAGCGCTCATGGTCGCCTAGCGAAGGAGAGAGCCCCGTGCCACACAGGACCACGGCCTCAAGGCGCACGACAAGCGCGCCTTCGAGGCCACGTTAAAAGATTGCGGCGCAGCAGCCGCCTGGGTGGCCGTTTCCCAGAACAGCCCCCAATTGTGGAGAACGGAAACCCAAAGGGGCAGCACGCACCCTCGTTTTCCGTCCAAGCAGAAAGTCCAACGACCGTGACAGGTCGAACGTCCGCCCAGGACGGGCTGCGCGCAATTGCGTCGCGGCAACGAGAAGCTACCAACGACACACTGCCGTGCTCACTTGAGCCAAAAGTGTTATGAATACGAATTACAGAAGAGCATGCATAAAAGCATACAGCACAACAGCCAGCCCGCAGACTATGTACAGTTACAAGATGTAGTAGTGGTAGTAGATGTAGTTGTGATAGTAGTGGTAGTAGTGGTAGTAGTAGTAGTAGTAGTACTAGTAGTAGTAGCGGGAGCGAGAGCGGTAGCAGTGGTAATGGTAGCAGTAGTGGTGGCAGTAAAGCAGCCGCAGCAGCAGTAGCAGTAGCAGTACGTTGTGTCGGGAGGTGAGAGCCGGTCGTGTGTAGCAAAATCTTGCTACATTTGCAAACTTGGTTAATTTTGCCAAGCTTGCCCATCTTGGTGGGGGTCAAGACAGTATGAAATAAGGCTAATCTTGAAACATTGGTTGACCGGGGCGGGTCAAGATTTCCAGTAGCTTGGCCAGTTTTGAAATCTTGTAATTTGGTTTCGACTATTTGCTAAGCCGGGGGAGGGGCTGGCCATCTTGAAATCTTGGAACCTTGTACCACTCTCAGCACAGTCAGTTGTTTTTTTCTACCACAAGATTGCCAAGATGCCCGCCCCCCTGAAGGGTTTGGGGTTTTACGGTTGAGGGTTTAGGATTTACGGTTACGCTCGCCCGATGCGTGCGGTTTACGGGTTAAGGGTTAGGGTTTAGGGCTTAGTGAGTTGTAGTTAGAAGTAGTATTTGGTTGGTATCAGTAGTATTGGGTTTAGGGTTTTTCGGCTGTTGGGGTTTTACGGTTTAGGGTTTAGGGCTTTTGGGGTTTAGAGTTTGGGGTTTACGGGGTTGGGGTTTAGGGTTTGTTCCAACTTACAAATCTTTGGAAGTAGTATGGGGTTTAGTTTTTTTGGGGGTTGGGGTTTTACAGTTTAGGGTTTAGGCTGTTGGGGTTTTATTGTTTGAGGTTCTTAGGGTTTAGAGTTTGGGATTTCAACCAGTAGGTAAAAGTAGTACTAGTAGTAGCATAAGTATTGATTTATGGTTTTCAGGGTTTGAGGTTTTACGGTTCAGGGTCAGGGTTTAGGCTGTGGGGGTTTGACGGTTTGGGGTGTTGGGGTTAAACGCGCGCCCGGCGGCTGCGGTTTACGGGTTTCGGGTTAGGGTTTAGGTTTTGTCATTGGTAGACTTAAGTTGTGTTAGTAATTAGTGTTGTGGTTTCCAAGTTTTTTGTGTTTGGTGTTTTAGGGTTTAGGGTTTAGCCTGTTGCGGTTTGAGGGTTGAGGGTTTTGGGATCAAAAGCTCAGCGCGTGGTTTACGGTTTTCCGGTAGACGGTTTAAGGTTTGTAGTTAGCAGTTGTACTTATAGTTGATGCATTGGTACTAGTATCAGTGTTATAGGGTTTAGGGTTAAGGGTTTCCCGGTTTGCTGTTTGGGGTTCAGGGTTTCGGCTGTTGGGGTTTCACGGCCTAGGGTTTAGGGTTACGCGCCCCCCTTGTGCCATTGCCGGGTTCAAGGCTGTGCCAGGGATTTGTGTGAAGTTTTTGTTGCAACGATGGTGGATCGTGAGCTCAATGCGCTAAGTTTTTGCATCATGGGTCTTGTCGCCGGAATCGTCTCCGCCACCGTCATGTACAACATTACAAGAGCACTAAACCCAAGTGTCTCACCATGCGAGGCCTACCTGACCAGGGCCACCAAGGAGATTATGCTGCCTCACCACTACGACCTCCCACAACCCTACATCAACCGCACGGTTTTGTCGGCGGAGTTTGCAGAGCTGGTCGAGCTCCGCCGAGCGAGCCCAATCCATCTTATCCTGGTCTTCGGCCGCCGCCAAGTGGGGAAAACGAGCCTGGTCAGGGAGCAGTTCAAAAACGAGAACAATGTGCTCTACCACGCTCTCGAAGCACACGCCATGCATTTGGGCTCGGAGGCGTGCGGCTCAGGTGCCGTTCGGTGGCTCGTCAGCGATGTCTACGAGAAGAGCCAGCAGAACATCACCGTGATCTTCGACATCCCCCACGATCTCGAGGATGCTGATGTCGCAGTAATCTACCATTACATTAAGTATGTAGTCTATGATGACCTTGCCAGACGGCCTGTGCTCGGCATCATTATCCTCAGCAGCCATTACTGGCCTCGAGTGGACGCCATCCGCAAAGACATCGGTCGGTACGAAGCTTTTTGGGTTGGCAACCTCGAGGAGTCGGAGGCGACCGAGTACGTCGGCAAGGATTGCAAGATCGTCGAACTGCCTCCCCCTTTGCGGTAAAGCCTGCGCGACCAAGCTTGTCCGATCATCTTGCTCCCCCCCCCCTCTCCCATTTTGGGGCTCAAGCAAGCTGGCAGGATTGTGTGCACGGTTTTGGTCAGTGATCGGCTTTCGTTTGCCGGCACACAGTAGCAGCAGCAAGTAGCAATTGCAGTAGCAGCAGCAGCGGCAGCAGTAGCAGTAGGCGTAGGTAGCCGCGGTGGTAGCGGTGTTGCTGCCGGTGGCGGTGGCGGTCGGGGAAGTGGTAGTGGCTGTAGTAGTGGTAGGTGGTGGTGGTAGTGTCGGTGGCAGTGCTGGTGGCGGCGGTGGTGGTTGTGCTGGTGGTGGTGGCGTAGTGAAGTGGTAGTGGTAGAGGCTCCACGTCGTTGCAGAGGTAATTATTAGTCGTGGAGTCGTGGTACTGGTAATGATACCCGGTAATGATACCCAAGATCGAGCTCTTTTGAATTGTGAGCTTTGGCCGCAGGCGGACCTCCTCGCATCTTGATTGAGATTCTGCGGCCATGTTCGTGATTTTGGAAACGCTACACCGGCTTTGTGGCTTTAAGATTCCCGGGGGGAGGATTTAGCTCCGAGTTTACCGCTCGGTTTCGACTGACTTCAAGCCTCACTTGGTGTCCGCACAATTGATTGTCTGCTTTGGAATGGAAGACCCAGAAAATCTCCGTACTTGTCACAACGAACCCTGTCGTACTTGAGCGCGGCATCTGCTGTTGCTTTGGCACGCGATGTTTAAATTCTAACTGATTGATGAATCCCGGCAAGTCTGTACATGCCTTAAAGATAGCTTCTCAAGCTGCACCCGCAACTGTTGCATACATAACTCTGCTGTAACTCTACGGAGATTTACGTCTTATTGGTCAAGAAGTTATCAGAATATAACTTGAGACTGTCGTGGAAGGCCGCTTCTTTCCAAAAGGCGCACGACCATGCATTGCACCATGGCTCCAGTTCAGGTCATGGTGTCCGAGCACGACTACGGCACATCTCTCTCCACGGAGTCTCTGTCACGGCTTTAGTCTGTGTTGACTTCCGATCGTTTAGAGTTTGCGGCCGCGGAAACGAAGTCGCGATCCACAAGCTGCGCAAGCTCAAACACGATAGAACATGGGCATAAGGTCATGCAGTAGTGTTCGGTTGTCAAGACACCGCGGTTACAGGCAGTAGCAGAGCACGCGACAATGGTGGATTAGTAATTGTCCTTGTGCTATCAGTCAAGGCATGTTCATGCCCTTGGCACTAGCGGCCACTAGAGGTTTGCCATGAAATTCGGCTGGCCGGCAGAACGTCAAACGAGAGCCGATATGGTTTCCGGCGTTGTGTCTGGATGCGCTGTTCGCATCGTACTCAGCTGTGGTTGTTTCGATCACCACAACACTTCTAAATAGCATACCTGGTAGTTCGCAGGGCTCGGGTGCACTTGAGGGCCAGAAGTGAAGATCTTCCAGGTTGGTGATGCAACTTTGAATCAAGAACCTTCTGAACTGCAAAACCCAACATGCGAACCCTACACCCTAAACATCCCTAAGCACCCCTAAAGCCTAAACTTCGTACAGCCGTTCTAAACTATCAGAGGAAGCCTTGTCCTGGCTCCGGTCCTTCGGCTGGCAGCCCGTTGTGCCTCTCGTCACAGGTTGAGGTTTTTTTTCGGATCACAGCGTACCGCACGGGATATCATGAACTGTCCAGTACTGTATGATGGATGGCAATGTGCAAGTCCTCATTATTCTGGTACCAGATACATGTGCTGTAACCGGAGTGGTGCAGCAGATGATGTGGTTGTAATTTTTGGTAAGGGTTGTCTTACACTGAGGCCCCTTTCAGGGCCCGTCTCATTTAGTAAATAATGTTTATTCCCTCCCACAAGAACAGATGTGTTTTTCCAAAGCTGCCTTCAGACTTTTTCCTGAACTACAAGTGAAGACGCAGAGCGCTAAGGCTGCCATGGCTTTGCCTAATCGCTAGCCTGCTTACGCCTTTCTTCGCTGTTCCTGTTCTTCTGGCGCGCCTGGGTCTGTTGCGAGGATTCCGCAGATCAACCATCCCAGCTACATCCCCGAAGCTCGCCCAGAGCTTGCTGCGACAGGAGCGGTTCTTTCCCCCGCGAGGGTCGGCAAGGTTTTGCTGAAGGGGGGCCGTCACACCTTGCCCTGTAACGTCCGAATATCTCTGTAACTAGGTACAAGAGCCTCTTTCACGCTGCTGAGGTCTGCATAAAGTTAACTGTTCCAATGTGGTAGGATCCTCATTGCCAGGACTTCGTACGGGGCTTTTGAAGAGTTGTCATGGGGATTCAGGCTTCCGCTTTGCCGTGGTTGGCTCAAAATCTCGTCCAGAACCGAGGAGTCCAGCTTTGGGTCGCACTCCACCCATACCTCAAGCCGCAGCAGCCCGCCGACCCAACGTCGTCAAGTTCTGAGATGTCGCGTCGTGTGATGCAGGATTCAACAAGCTTCACTTGTGGAATCTCACGGCCTACGACAGCAGCTGGGCCGTGGTCATGAGTGTGTTCTGACGGCTGCGAGGGTGTTCGTTTGTCGCTGTCATCCTGCGTTCAAATTCTGGTGGAGAGTAGACCCCATTGTCTCTGAACGGATTTTTGAACGTTCTGATCGTTTCGTAGAGTTTGTTTTCATGGGTTGGTTGACGTACAGGTGTCGCAGGAGGAGGGCCGTGGTTATTGAGTGATTTGCACGAGCATGCCGCCTAGTCTTCTTCATCGATGGTCGGCGAGCATCCAAGGAATCATTTATTTGGTCGCTCGGCATGCGCCCTTCGGGAGATATGGGGGGTGGCTACTTGAGTGTGGAAGTGTGTGTGTGTGTGGGCGTGTGCATGCACATGTGCACCAGGTCTAGAATTCCCTTCGCACGTCTGCTTGAAATCAGACTCGTGTTACTACAGCTGCGAAAGATATAATCAGAAGTCGAGACGCAGTTCATTGGCTGTCTCGTTGCTTGGCTAAGGATGCTGATGCTTTCGTACTCCAGGATGTGCGCTGGATCTGGGACGCCAAATACTGGCGGCCACTCATCTGGGAGTTGCGCTGTAGTCTTCAAGTGGAGTGTCATCAGGTTTCAGTTTTGCCAGCATGCTAGGCAGGACAAGCCTCCTGCAATTCCTATGCTCCAGTCGTGAGTTTCGTGTAAGGGCTACTTCAGTCCAAACATAGAGCCGCACCTGCATTTTGAGTCCATTTTGTCTTGTGCCGTTGCAATGAGTACTTCCACAACTTGCATGTTTACGAGAAGTATCTCCTCATGTCAAGGCCGTCCCCCGTCACTCGGAGATTTCCGTTGTAATATTCTCGGACGTTGAGATGCGAGTTGTTGTATGCCACAGGAACGTCTAGCAGCGCGTGGCCTGTCCGATTGCGAAGTTAGCGGGACAAGCTGGTACTCCGCCGGACACTGCGCGGGATTGATTCTCTAGTGCTGTAGGTCAATGAAGTATTCACTCTCAAGCAGTGGCAGGCAGTTAGTTAGCATGGGGCTTCGATTTGCTTGAAGAGGCATCCCGTGAACAGCGTGGCAGAGCTGGGGGGGCAAATGAAGGCCGGGTTTATCTTGCGTTTCCCTGCGCCGGACGGCCGTAGAACCCGGAAGCTGGGCTCCAAGCTCAAAGCCCCGGAGAAGTGAGACAAGCAGGACCTCGAAAAGATGGGCATAGGCTCCTGAAGGAACCCTGCATACAAGTAACGTCCATGTCCTTAGACTTCAGTTTGTTAAAGTTGTGCAAGCAAGGTTGTGCAAGCAGCACGTTGGTGTCAAGTCTTGCAGACCTCCAGCATGCCTCGAATCTTGCATAGACAGCAAAGACCTCGACCCTTTGCTTCAGGGCGGCTTTCTGGCTGTGAGACCTGATGCCGCAACCTTCCGCCGTTTGGTAAAGGCCATGCCTTGGAGAGGTAGGATCTTTGGGAATTCAGGCAATCGTGTGTCTAAGCAGGGATTAACCTTCTCAGAGAGGACTGTCAGACTGTGGGACAGTAGCGAAGTACTGACAGTGCGGTTGGCAAAGCCCGGCCCACAGCATGTCTCCACATGCGCGGCAACAGAGAGATGAGACACTGGTGAACGAGGTACGGTCTGTTGACAGCCTACGTATGGGTTGAGGCATGCACTGCTCAACTTGCTGGAGTATCCTGTCAAAGCCCATCCCTATCCGCCGTCCCCCGTCACCCGCCCCGCTCAGTGAGATCAGGTTGCTTCTCGCTTAGACCTGTGTAGGAGGGCCTTTCAACACGCATTCAACCAGCCATAAAAACACGCGTAGCAGCGAATGATCTGAAACGCCCAGTTGGGATGGTGAAAGGCATTGGATCAGCCGATACGATTCGCCAACAACGCCGCTTGGTCTGCGGTTCCTGGGTCACGCGAATCTGATTTGGAGCCAACACTGGCCCTACACAGGAGATCACTGGTGTGATCTTGAGGCCTCAATTTGCAACTTAGTCGGCTTTTCATGTTCCCCATTGCTAAGTGCTTAAGGCTTCCTTGGTAGGTGCCAAGGCCAGCAGGCTCTCGGCTCTTGCAGAGCGATGATGTCCGAAGCAACGGTGAGATGTGCATTTTACATCATGGCACACAATTGATGCGTCGCTGCAGGGCCATGTATTGAGATGACCGGGCAGCACTGCACAGGGGACATAATCAGAAAGGTATCATTCTGAGATGCTGATGCACGAGGAGATGGGCTTCCTGAATGCTGTCTTGAAGGAAGACTTCGCGAAAGTTCCTGTAGAGGCAAGCCATGGCCATGAAAGGATCCGCGATCTGAAGAAGCACGACTCAACTTAGGCATCCCCTGGAATCTCCTGATAGCGTCGCGGCGTTTGTGAAAGATCTAGACATTGCAGGCTTCTGGGCCCGGAAGCCATTTGACCGTTAGTATAGCAACAATGTGTCGGTAGATGCTATCGTGAAGACTGTGACTCTCGAACGGCTTCCTTGAGCTTTGTCGTCGTACGATACCACTACTGTGCTTGTCGCAAGCTCAAGCCGGACAGGATCGTCTCCCTTCCAGACAGCACCTTTGCGCTGCACGCTGTGTGCTGGAGGAGCACAGTTTTCCTCAAAGGATGTAGACCCCAGACTTCCCCAAGCTCAAGGGACAGTCCTGTGCTTGGTCAATATTGTCCATCGTCCCCTGATCCCGGCTGCGGGCTGGTTTACTATCTCTACTTCCTCCCCCGACTTGAATCGAAGAGGACGGCGCCGTGCGGCTGGAGTTTGCATACCAGCTGATTGAAGCAGGTAGCCTGCATTTCGAGCCAGACCCAGCTCGACATTTCAAACTGGTTTCAGTTGTATATAATGCTGCTGTACAGCACCTTCTTCATTGATGCTGCATTGCAACGTGTTGCTCTGCTCTGCAGAAGATGTATGTAGCCATCCTGCATGGTGATTCAGTAGACCCCATTTTCATGGTCTGGCTTGCAGCGTGTACTTTCAAGATCTGTTGACATCCGGCCTAGCTTGAACACACTTGCTTTCTTTCAGTTGCCATATTCGGCTAAACCGCATCAGGAAATACTGCTATGAGCCCATGAAGCGTCTGTTCGATACTTATCAACGTGAGTTGCATACTGCTGCATCAGGTCGGGTTGTCTGCGTCCTTAGCAGTAGCACGCTATGTAATGAAGCCGTGTGTTCTCCTTATGTCATGTTATTCTTCAGTACCGTCTGATGCCAGACTTGATGAGGTTGTTCCGTGTGTCGCTGGGGTGCTGCATAAAACATCTGAATTCGCACAAAGTTGTGAGTGTTGCCGTGACGTGACTTGGGTAACGTCTTTGCGGAATCTGCTCAACTGACAGCGCTAGAGGATCCAATCCAAAGCAGACAATCTTGGCGATGACCTCGACCCTGAACCAAATCCCAAGTGCCAGCTATTGAAGCAGGAAGCCCTGATTGCCAAACCTTATGTGCCTCAAGCGCTGTTTTTGCATCCACTGGTTCAATGGAGGCATTATGGACTTTCAGGGCAAAGCGAAGCCGTGGTCTTGGCCCGCGTGGCTTGGCCATGACGAACGAGGGCTTGCCAAGCTTGCCTTTGCCACGAACTGATTCGCTTTGCAGCTTCGTACTCCGGGTTTCGATATGTGGGTGGACAGTGGAACTTGCGGGAAGTCTGTTGCACTTGCTGAAATAGCGGCGAGTAGCGAAGCCTGAATCTTCCAAAGGCCTGCTCGTTGATTGTATGGACTTGTAAGATCGGCTGTAGCCTAAGTAGTGTCCACGCCAATCACAGGTCGATCCATCAACAATGCTCGTCTGTCGTGGCTTTTGCGGGGGTCTGGCAGGCGCACCACATCCGTCATTTAATCTTCTAAGAGAAATCCGACAGTTTGGCTTCGAGACGGGAGGACTTCTTTCTGTGGTATAGTTGGACTCAGTTGCTTTTTTGGCAATCTCTTTCGAAGCAGTCCTCTCGTATCCTTGACCGTTGCATCGACAATTTGGACTATACTGGTCCAAGTATGCAATGGCCATGAAATCGTCGTAGCTGTGATGGCGGTGGTGGGGTTGGGGTTGGTGTTGGTTGTTGTTGGCGGCGGCGGTCGTGGTCGTCGCTCGGGGTGTCTGATGAGTAGCCACGTGGTGCACACCAGGGAGCATGCTGCAGAACCAGCTAGCACGGTGACCACATTTTTGCCATGTCGGGGTGCAATCTTGGCACCAGAGCATCTGGGTAACCCGGGCCTAGGTTTTTTTGAAGCTGCATGGAGCCAGGGTGACCCAACACTACCCAAACTGTGTGCAGACAGTTGCAAAGCACAGGCCATATTGGTGGCTCCTGGACACAGATGGGTCCGTTTTGTGCTGGATCGATTCGGCACGGACCCGCTGGGGCTTCACCTTCAGCACAAAGCACGAGCTTCAAGGGCTTGTGGGCTTCGGAATACAGCCCTGCATGGCTATCACATGTACTATCAGTCGGGACCACATGGTTCTGATTTTGCTTGTCTGACAGTTCATGGTGTGAGTAAGGCTTGCGCCAGTCAAGTTTTTGTTGTACATGGGCCAAGCCTTCGTGCTTGGAGTCGTGGTCTCAGAGGGTCATGATCTGGGGGTCAGGTCATGTTCCGATGTCGTGTGTTGCCTAATGGTGCAAGCCAGAGACGTGTCTGGGCACATGTGGGTTTTCCAAGCTAAGTTTACCACTGCACAGATATAGATGCACAGTTTGATGTTGCAGGGAAATCGAAGATCTCTTCCGTCGGGTCAGCGAGAGCTCCAGAAACCCTCTGCAGACTCTAGAGGTTATGGTGTGGACTGTGTCTGGTATGTACATCATTGTGAAACTGCAAAGAGGGCAGGGGTAGTTTGATGGTCGACAACCGCAAACACGTCCTATCATGCATGTCACCTCATCTTCGTGTAGCAAGCCCACTCTCACCCCATCTGACTCTGCTTCGGCAAGCTGCAGTTTGTCTGGACCCAAGCCAGCCCTGCCCGGCCTGTTTGTTTTTTTTTGGGGGCTCAGGGCACATGGCTAGCTACCTCGTGACAGTGACTCATGGCTTAGTGAGCTCAGGAACCTGTGAAGTCCAAGACCTGTTTTCGAGGAGCAGCGCCTTCTGAATGTGAACCAACCGTCTCCGGAGCGCATCACTCCCTTGGTGGAGAAGGCGCGGTCAAGTCTGTCCTGAGGCTGTTCGTTCTGGACAGATCCATCTTGGTTGTCAAAGGCTTGCAAGCTTGGAAGTTGATCACCGAAGGTTACTACAAGTTATTCAGACCACAGCCTAGCAAGCAGGGTATTGGTGAGAGAGCACACACAATCGAGAATTTCGGCCGAGGTTTACAGAGCTGCAGAAGCAGCGCAGGTCATTCTCCCTCCCAATCCCCCCCACCCGAAGGAAGCCTGTTCTCGAGAAACCTCGAACATGATTGTGCCATGGCGTTTCGACATTGACAGCTGAGCTTGCGGCATTAGATGCTCTGTTCATCCGAGTGCAGCCTCTTCAGGCCTTGACAGTGAACACCAGCAACACATCCCGTGTTTGGCTTTGAGGCAGCAGAACAATCGGCCACAGTGCCGAAGCAACGACTTAGCTCAATCGCAGTAGTGTTTTGCCTGCAAGAGAGAGTGTTTTTGACCACCACTCCTGCTACCAAGACGATTACGGCTTAGGATTCTTACGTCGTGGGAAGAACTGGTTTGTGCAGCCTCATGAATCTTGGAGGTGCTGAACCTCGCACTGCAAGTCCAGATCTCAGTTGTTTGTTTGCATCGGCTAGTATGCCCTTCATTCGATTCTTCTTCGTTGTGTGGGTGTGGCAGCTGTCATCGTAAACCTTGTCAATGCAACAGCAGTAGTATAGTAGTAGTAGTAGTAGTAGTAGTAGTAGTAGTAGTAGTAGTAGTAGTAGTAGTAGCCGTAGTAGGTAGGTAGCAGGTGGCAGGTAATAGGCAGTACGTAGTAGGTAGTAGAAGGCAGTTGTAGGCAGTTGCAGGCGGTTGCAGGTAGTTGCAGGTAGTAGTAGGTAGTAGTAGGTTATAGTAGATGGTATCAGGCAGTAGTAGGTAGTAGTAGGTAGTGCAGAAG